GGTTATTGCATGGGGGGGGTTATTGCATGGGTGGCTACTGCATGGAGAAGATTATTGCATGGAGAAGGTTATTGCATGGGGGGGCTACTGCATGGGGAGGTTATTGCATGGGGGGGCTACTATGGAGGGGGTTATTGCATGGAGGGGGTTATTGCATGGAGAAGATTACAGCATGGAGAGGGTTATTGCCTGGGGAGGTTGGTTACTGCATGGGGGGGTTATTGCATGGAGGGGGTTATTGCATAGGGAGGATTACTGCATGGAAAGGGTTATTGCATGGGGGTTATTGCATGGGGGGTTATTGGACAGGAAGGGTTATTGCACCTGGGAGGAGTTCCTGCATGGGGAGGGTTACTGTATAGGGAGGGTTATTATATAGGAGGAGTTATTGTATAGAAGGGGTTATTACATGGGGGACTTATTGGAGGGGGTTACTGTATAGGGTGCATTACTGCATGGGGGGTACTACATGGGAGTATTTTAGTGGCGGGGGGAGGCATTATTGCACTGGAAGGATTATTGCAGTGGGGGGTTATTGTGTGTGGGGGGGTTATTGCACTGGGGGCAGGGCTGGGGAGACACCTTGTTTTGTCCCTACAGGGGGTTGTTCCCGCGGGGTCGCTGCCCAGGCCGGGGTTATTGCCCGGGGGGGTTATCACTGGGATTTATTGCCAGCTGGGGGGGAATTTCCCACGGTGGGGGGGCATTTTTGCCATAGCCGGTTCCCTGAGCTCCCGCAGCCAGAGACACCGACCTGATCCGCTACGGACCTGGCTCAGCCGCACTCCAAGGCTGGGAATAGGGAACAGGGAGCTGTGAGAGCATCGCCTCGATGCCCCCCCGCCCCGAGGCTGCCCCACCCCAGGGACCAATTTAACGGCGTTTCGTTAGTAACGCCCTAAACGAGAGCAGCCCCCATGTCCCCGGCTGTGGGGACGCGCTGGAGTCGGGATCGTGCAGCATCAACCTGGAGTCGGGATCGTGCAGCGCCAACCCCCTGGGAAGCTGCTGTTTGCCGGAGGGGGGGATTTATTTCCCATGAATCGGGAAAATAAATGGAAAAAATAAAGAACAACCCCGCCGAGGGGGATTCGTCCCATACAAGGAATGGGTCCCCCCGCCCCGGCAAGCTGCTGACTGGGCACAAGTGATGCGAAGTTTGCCCATTCTCAGCCCTCTCACGTTTTGTGGGAACAGAAGCCGTGGGAGCGCAAATCCCGCAGGAAAAGCAGCCCCGGCCCTTGTACCTTTAAGGTTTATCTGCATTTAAAACCAGCTGGGAGCAACCACCCCAGCCGGTAAAACCAGATATATCCCGCCGGAGCGGCGCAATCTTTGCCCTCTCCGCGGTGCCGTGGCTTGTTTGTCTTGCAACAGCGCAGGCGCTTCCCATCCCACCGCAGATCCCACTTTCCCAACGCTGCCCCATGACTATTTTCCCTCTTCAATACTGAGGAATTCTCCCCCAAAATAAGGGTGATTTGGGGCCAGAGGAGTGTTTTTTCCAGTGCATTGCATCCCCCATGGTAGATGCAATCAGTGGGGGTTTTAAGGGGGAAAATGCTCCCATGTCCCATGCCAATGCGCCTAAAATCCCAAGTCTGTCAGGAGTTTTTCCCGTGGTGGAGAAAGTGGCTTGGCTTCATCCCTACCGGAACATGACCGAGGGTGCCCATGGTCATCCTCAGCTGCCGTTCTGCCGCGGGAGCATCCCCGACGTCCTGCCCAGGGAAAGGCTTCTGCAGGGGACGAACAGAGACGAGAAGCAAATGAAGCTGCAGCAATTGCAAAGCTGCAGAACTGTAAAGCCAGCTGAGTCACAAAGTTGGGGGAAATGCAAAGCCGACGGAGTTGCAAAGCTGCGGGAATTGCAAAGATGCGGGAATTGCAAAGATGCGGGAATTGCAAAGCCGACAGAGTTGCAAAGCCGACGGAGTTGCAAAGCTGATGGAGTTGCAAAGCCGACAGAGTGGCAAAGCTGTGGGAATTGCAAAGCTGCAGGAATTGCAAAGCCGCGGGAATTGCAAAGCCGGCGCTGGAAGCACCTGAGCAGCGTAACCGAAAGTGGGAGCGCCGGAGCTCTCGCTCTCCAGCCTGGACTTGCATTTAAAACCCAGCAACCTGCAATAAAACGGCGCGGTCGCCAGGGAACGGCAGCAGGCAGAGCCAACGCCTTCGCTCCTGACGCCCAGCTGGCTTTCCCGATGGATTGGACAGAGTTTTTCCGAGAGGGACCCTGCAGCGCCTCCCGTTATCCCAAACGCACCCCTGGCCCAGGCTGCTTCTCCTTTTCTCTCTGCAAACAGCATTTTCCTCCACTTTGCTTGCTGTTTTTGGAAAACTTCAGCCATTCAACTTTTTCTTTTTTTCCACAGAAAAAGAACCTCAAATTTTGCAGTTTCAGTCTCAAATTTTGCAGTTTCAGCCCCAAATTTTGCACAGCCTCCGGCCCCCACCCGCTTTCCTGTCCCCCCACGCCGGTGGGGCCCCCAGGCCAGTGCGGGGTCCGCGGCCGTGGCTGGTACCTGGGCGGTCGCTGGGCGGTGGCTCGGGGCTGGCGCCGGGGTCCCCGCTCAGTGGCTGTTAGGGGCTTCTTCAGGGGCAGCTCCCTGCCCCACAACCTGCCCCCCAGCCCCACAACCTGCCCCCCGGCCCCTCCATCCCACTCTCTGCTCCCTACCCTGCCTCCAGATTCCGAACTCGCCCCACAAACCGCTCCCGGTGCCACCGCCTGCCGCCCAGCGCCTCTTCCCTGTTCCCTGCCCCATAACCTGCTTCCAAACCCGGCCCCATTCCCTGCCCCGTAACCAGGCCCCACGCCCCAAACCTGCCCCATAACTGCCCCCTCGGGGCCAGACCCCCCTCCCCATGCCCTTCCCTGCCGCTCCTCCCCGC